TCATCAACTTCTCAAACACTCGGTTGCAAAAATGTTTGCCCCCGTCACTCACAATAGCTCGTGGAAATCCGAACCTACTTAAGACATGACTTTGCAAAAACTTGATCACAATGTTAGCATCACATGTCCTAGTGGGGATAGCCTCTACCCACTTTGACACAATAATCTACAGCAAGAAGTATATACTCAAAGCCAAAAGACTTGGGAAATGGCCCCATGAAATCAATGCCCCACACATCAAAGATTTCAACTTGTAAATTGCTCACAAGGGGCATCTCATTTCTTGAGCCAATGTTCCCAATTCTTTGACAACGGTCACAAGATTTGCAAAAGTTGTAAGCATCTTTAAAAAGAGTTGGCCAAAATAAACCTGATTGAAGGACTTTGAAAGCGGTCTTACGGCCTCCATAATGTCCTCCAAAATGAAGCTCGTGGCAGAAGGTAAGGACATCCAATTGCTCCTCTTCGGGCACACACCTCCGAAGAATGTCATCTTTTCCCATCTTGAAAAGGAATGGGTCGTCCCAAAAATAGCTCCTACACATCAAAACAAACCGTTTCCTCTCTTGGGAAGAGAGGTTAGCCAACAAAACACCATCTGCCAAATAGTTCACTATGTCTGCATACCAAGGCACATTATCCACTTCATTTGCATGTTCATATGGAAAATCATCATTTATGCCTACATGCTCATGCGATGCAAGTGAAGGATCAGAAGGAAGAATGCGAGACAAGTGGTTAAGAACAACATTTTCACAACCCTTCCTATCCCGAATTTCGACATCAAACTCTTGCAACAACAAAATCCACCTAATAAGTCTAGGTTTCGATTGAGTTTTACTCAAAAGATACCTAAGAGCTGCATGATCAGAATGGAAAATCACTTTAGACCCCAAGATATAGGATCTAAATTTTTCAAGAGAAAACACAACAGCTAATAACTCTTTTTCAGTGGTCGTGTAATTCATTGGGCACCATTTAGGGTTAAGCTAGCATAATAAATTACACGAAGCAATTTATCAACTCGTTGGCCCAAAATGGCTCCCACAGCAAGGTTCGATGCATCACACATAATCACAAAGGGCAAAGACCAGTCGGGTGCAATTACAATAGGAGCAGTCACAAGCTTATTTTTCAATTTATCAAAATCCTCAACACATGCATTATCAAACACAAATGGCACATCATTAGCAAGCAAGTGACACAAAGGCTGGCTGATTTTCGAAAAATCTTTAATAAATCTCCTATAAAAGCCAGCATGACCCAAAAAACTTCTAACTCCCTTAACATTCACAGGAGGGGGGAGTTTCTCAATCACATCAATTTTTGCCTTATCAACTTCGATTCCACGACTAGATATCACATGACCCAACACAACTCCACTTGTCACCATAAAGTGACTTTTCTCCCAACTCAAAGTCAAGTTAGACTCAATACACCTCTCGAAAACACGAGACAAATTATGGAGACAATTAAAAAATGAAGTGCCAAAGATAGAAAAGTCATCCATGAATACCTGTAAGCAATCCTCGAGCATGTCGGAGAAAATGGAGAACATGCACCGTTGGAAGGTACCGTGTGCATTGCAAAGGCCGAAAGGCATCCGTCTGAAAGCAAATGTGCCGAATGGGCAAGTGAAGGTTGTCTTGGGCTGATCCTCCGGAGCTATGGCCACTTGGTAGTAGCCCGAAAGACCGTCGAGGAAACAATAGAACTGGTGGCCCGAGAGTCGGTCGAGGATTTGATCAATGAACGGCAACAGAAAGTGGTCTTTCTTGGTCACGACATTGAGCCGCCGGTAGTCAATACACATCCTCCATCCGGTAGTGATACGGGTGGGGACCATCTCTTTCTTCTCATTCTCGATCACCGTGATGCCCCCTTTTTTCGGCACCACATGGATTGGGCTAACCCATTCACTGTCGGCTACTGGATAGATGAGTCCTTCAGAGTAGAGCTTCAATACTTCCTTTTTCACGACCTCCATCATGTTCGGGTTGAGCCGTCGCTGGCTATCCTGAAATGGCCTGGCACCCTCTTCCAAAACGATCCGGTGCATGCAAGTGGAAGGGCTGATCCCCTTTATGTCGCCTAGGCTCCAACCGATGGCCTTTTGATTCTTCTTAAGCACCTCGATCAGCTCCTTCTCTTCTTCTTGATTAAGCTCGGCAAATATGATAACCGGCTTTTGTTTCTCATCATCGAGGAAAACGTACTTGAGGTGACGAGGCAACTCTTTTAGCTCCAGCGTTGGTGGGGCCTTCGGTCTTAGTTCCTCGACCTCCATTAGCTCAACAAACGATCCTTCTTCCTCTTCGAGGTCGGGCAATGACCTCTCTTCCAAGTCTCGTATGGCCATCTCCTCGATAAAAAGATCACTCATATCAACGAACGAACACTCCTCCACAAAGTTCGCCGAAGGGCCAGATGTGGCCTCTCGGACAGAGATAGACACGGACTCGCCTAGGACCGTCATGTTCAAGGTCCCGTTCTTGACATCAATGAGGGTGTTGGTGGTGGCCATAAACGGCCTGCCGAGAAGGATGGTATGGTCCTTCCCATTCTCGTGGACGTCTCCCACATCGAGCACTACAAAGTCCACCGGGACGATGAGCTTTCCCACACGAACAAGAACATCTTCCACCACTCCCTTAGGGTATCGAATGGAACGGTCAGCAAGTTGAAGGCACATATGGGTTGATCTCAAATCTCCTAGACCGAGCCGCTGGAAGATAGAAAACGGAATAAGATTGATTCCCGTTCCTGAGGGCTATTTTGATCACGAAGCCCCCAGGATCTCGTTCCTTCTTAGGTAAGTCATGTTGCATTGCACTTGCCGCCTCATAGACCACCACTTTCTCCCCATCGCCGAACTTTCTCTTCTTTGTGACCAAGTCTTTGAAGAACTTCACATACGAGGGCATATTCTTGATCACATCTAAGAGGGGCAAATTCACGTTGACTTTCAAGAGCATAGTGTAAAGATCCCGGAATTGTTCTTCTTGCTTCTCGTCTCGAAGTCGGCTTGGAAAAGGAATGCGTGGTTTGTAAGGATTTGGAGACTTGTGCAGCATCGAGCCGTCCGTCGGCTTCTCTACATTGGCTTCCTTGCTCTTCACATTCTCCCCTACTTCTTTGGGCTGTGTGGTTGGCTTAGGGTCGTCGGGCTGGGGCATTCTTACTTTGTTATCCACTTCCTTCCCGCTCCTCAACACCGTTATTGCCTTGGCTTGCTCGGGTTGACTCGGAAGTTTCCCTTTGTCGGACTCGGCCTCCATATTCCCGACTCTCGTGGCAAGTTGGCCCACTTGCGTCTCAAGACGCTTAATAGACGAGTCCTGGTTGGTGATGAACTGAAGGATCTTGTCCAGCTTGTCATCTTGGTTTGACGAGCTTGAACCGGACCCTTGGGCTGGCTGTTGAGGTTGCTGTGGTTGTTGGTAGTTTGGGCGAGGGATGAAATTTGGACGGGATTGCTGCTGCATGAGGTTGGGACGAGGCTGTTGTTGGTTGAAGCTTGGACGAGGTGGCTGGAGCGTGTTGTTGTTGTTAGACCACGAGAAGTGTGGGTGATTTCTCTATCCCGGATTGTAAGTGTTGGAGAAGGGGTCGTTGGGCTGCCGGTTCTGATATCCTTGAAGAGCATTGACGTCGACATATTGCTCTCCAAGGTCCTGATCGAATGCCGATGGGCACACCTCTGACCAGTGCCCTTGGGCTCCACACGCCCCGCAAGTATCCACTGCCATAGTCTGAACTGGCTGCATTGTCCGAGCATTCATTAGCCGCATTTGTTCTGTAAGCTCAGCTATCTGGTGGACCATCATGTCTTGCCTCGGAGATGCTTCATTCACCACTGCTCTTTTCCCTCGACTGCTCTTTTGAGACGAGCTAGAACTCAACGCCTCAAAGATATCCATCATCTCCTCCGCTGTTCTCGCCCCAATGTCTCCACCCGCTGCATTGTCCACCATGTATTGAAGGTTCTGGTGGAGAGAATCATAGAAGCCGTTCATCAAAAGGGCTAGAGGAAGATTGTGATGTGGGCACTGCCTCTGTAGGTCCTTGAAGCGTTCCCACGCTTCGTGAAGTGGCTCGTGCGGCTGTTGGGCAAAAGAAACGATTTGTGACCGCAACTCTTGAGTTTTCTGGTGGGAGTAATACCTCCCGATGAACTTCGTATACACTTGCTCCCAAGTGGTAAGAGAGTCTGGAGCAAGTGTCATCAGCCATGCCTTAGCCCGATCCTTGAGTGTTTCCGGAAAACACCTCATTTTCAGCTGGTCCTCATTCAATCCGTGGAGTGGAAACGTTTGGAGGACATTGTAGAACTCACACATGAAATGAAGTGGGTCCTCATTGGGAAGACCATGGAAGGAGGGGAGCTGGTTGTAGTGGATGGTTTTGAGCTCGTAGTTCCGAGCTCCTGTCCCCAATCGTATGCACGAAGTCACCGGCCCAATCACTGGTTGAGCAAAATCGCGAAGAAGAGACTTAGCCGGGTTGTTGACTTCTTCTTCTTGATCGTTCTGTGCCATGTCGGTTTGGTCTTCTGATGTAGATGATACTGGTGCGAGACTATCTAGTAAGTCTCGTAGGTCCTGTTGGATGGATTCGTTGTCTGGAATGATTACACGACCACTCCTGGTATGCATAAACACAAACAACAAAAACGTCACGGGCACCAGATAGATACAAAATGAACGAAGAGAGAGATCAGATAAAGAGAACAATAAAACTAGACAAAGAAAACAAAACAAAAGAAACACAAAAAACAAGAAATCACAGAAAATAAAAGAAACACTGAAAATAAATGAATAGGCGCACAAAATAAGTCCTAAACCTTCCCCGGCAACGGCGCCAATTTGTTGTAAATATTTTTAGCCGGAGTAGAATCGAAAGATTCGTCACCGGATCGTATCACGAGGAAGGTTAGCCGGATTATTTGTACGGATATTCGATCACAAGAAAAGAGTAAAGAATTTCCTAAACACTCTAATTCAAGTTGGAGATTTGATTTATCAACTACGAATAATAAAGCAAAGAGACACGGAATTTCAAAGCAAAAGATTAACTTGATTATAGAGGAGTTAGGGAGTCGGGGACAATCGTTTTTGGTTCTTAACTCAATTACCGGGCAATCAATTGCTCGGTTTAGGGGATTGAATCGCCTATTCGTATAGAGGTTCACCTTCAATAACTCTTCGTAACAAGAAGGTGGACATACACGAGCAACTCATCAAACCCTACAACACATAGACAATACAATAACGAACAAGTCTATTCCAAACGAGCCTAAATCGACCGACGCCTCCCCTTTCGGTTCTAAACGTTGATTGATTAGGTTAGATTGGTGATCAATCAACTAACCCTAGAATATGTACAACTCGCAAGGATTAAACAATTATCAAACACGTAATTGAAAACGAACCGAAACAATCGTCCCTTATCCCTAACTTATGGAATTAGCCGCTCATCACAACATCAACACAAGCATTCACCATTAAAGAGGCCATCACATTCATGTATAAGATGGAAAGAAAAACTTACGATTAATACCAAATCCAAAGTAGATGAATCAACGAGAAAACCAAACCCAAAGCTAGAAAATGAGTTTAAATCCTCCAAAAATCCAATCCAAGATGAAAGATTGAGAAAAAGTAATGTTCTAGGGTGAAAGATAATGAAAAACCAAGTCTGGGAATGTCTCAAAACTGCCCTAAGTTCGATCTTTTATTTCCCAATTCGAAAATCCAAGAAATCTGCGGCTGTTACGAAAATAGGGGTTAGGGGCGCTATGGGGATAGCGCCGCTATGACTGGAAAATTCGAGCTGCAGCCCCTCGCTATGGTACAAACCGTCGCTAGTCAATCTGGTCATAGCGGCGCTATGCCATAGCGCCGCTATGCCTGGCTGCTCTAATAAAAAATCTATGTCTCGGGCCATGTGCTCTCGGTTAGCGTCCCTCGGGTCTATCTCGAGCTAGAAACTCAATCCACAAATGCTCCAGTCTCACGAACCGATGCAGAACACCTGGAACCTGAAAACACCACCATCGAACACACACAAAAGCAAGAGAAAATAGAAGAAATAACAACGAAAATGCTAAACACAACGAAAAATACTAAAAACTCGAGAATGACTAAAAAGGACCGGAAAATCCTAACAAAAGACCTAAAACGGGGGAAAACAACACACAAAATAGCAACGAAAATAGCAACAAAAACGGGACAAACACAAACGAGAAGCTGCTGAAGGAGAAGGCCGAGCACGACGAAACCCGCAAAAAGTGTGTTGAAGTTCAAGAGCTTATGGCCCGAGCCCGTGATGTTCACTAAGCCGAGATGGCCAAACTTGAGAAAGAGAAATCGACTTATGGTGAGTTCATGTATGGAAACAGTTTCGAGGTCAGGAAAGAGTCAGTTTCTGTCGGTGGAGATTGGGCTGGTGGAGAAAATGCTGCAACCACCGTCAAAACCGGAGTGGAAGGTGAAGTCGGCCCTGACCTAGAAATGGAGATGAACACGTGTGTAAATCTCCGGTGGGTGATTGAGCAGTGCGGCGCTGGATTTTACGATGTCGACGAACTCCGCATCTTTTTGTTTCACAAACTGGAGAAGTATGGCTTCGACATGGAAATCAAAGGCATGCACATTGAGGCAGACGACGACGAGAGGGAATTTTGTGCTAACTTGTTAGGTCGGACCGAGGAATTTGCCAAAAAGACAAACCTCTCTCCATTGTCTAAGGAGCGTGAGGACCTTCTCCGCCGCGCTTACATGAATATGATCCTTGAAGGTGAGAAGAAGAAACGGGAGCAACTGGCTGACATATACATTGAGACTTGCCGACGTTGTCATTGAGAAAAATTTCGATAACATGACTCCCGAGCAGATCCAGAAAGCTGTTGAGGCATATGCAGAGGACAAGGCCGGGCGTAAAGGAAACGAGGTCGAAGAGGCCAAGGACGTTCCCGAGATGAGTGGGGCTGCGATAGAGTCAGCAGATCCTCGACATGAGTTCGTTCCCGTTGCCGATGTGGCTATAGAGGCGGTAGTGCAGGCGAAGGAGGTTGCCGCCCTTGAACAGCTGCTTAAGACGGCCAGGATGGAGGTCGGTGAGGGAAGCGACACTGGCCGAGGTGATGAAGGGGCAGATGAGGTCGACCGGAGCGGCGAGGCAAAATAAGATGTTGTTTAAATTTCTGAACTTTTATGTTTTTAAGTATTTTTATGTTTTGATATTAGTCGGGGTGTCAGTATGTTGACATCCTTAGTAGGAAGTTACAATGTATTTCCCGACATTAATGGAATGGACAACTGTTTTTGCATTATTACAAGTTGCTCGTGTTGCTGTATTCATTTAGCAATTTTCTGACCAAGTGTGATGAACTCGGAAAATGCATAAGAATAAAATTTCAACTCGGTTTTAACTTGCGGAAAGCAGTTTAAGCATAGGAATTTTGTAATAAATTAAGTTTAAAACCGAGTTGCAAGATTTGAAGAAAATAATTTCCGAGCACAACCTGATCTTTATAATAAATTCGGTTGTAGTATAAACCGATTTGCAAGCTGTTAAAGAACTTGCAAAACTCGTCGCTGTTCACGCTGCGTTCGAGTTAAAAAAAAAAGGTTCACCGAACTTCGTCATGGTTCGATTATAGAATGGCCCCAACCGAGTTGATGATGTGTATTCGGTTGTCAATGGGACCCGTCAAATCATGTTGGCAGAAGTGACGCGGACGAGCTTTAGCCCAACCAAACCATACGTGGGATTTTGATGTATTACAAGGCGTCAGCAAAACCGAGTGTCAAAATGTTTACATCGGTATAAGGCATTGATAAGACCGAGTGCCAAAAAGTTTACATCGGTACCGAGCTGTGGCTCAGATTTAGAAGTGAAAATCTTCGAACTTTGTTACATCAAAAGAACGACTTTATTTCCTCGTACGAGCAAAAGGAGGGCTCATCAATAGGAAAGTCTGTTTCGCGACTTTCTAGCGAATCATTGGTAAAACTTCTTCAGGAATACGACATTCCACGGATATTGATGTGGAGTTCCGTCAGGATGTGCGATTCGGTATGCTCCGTAGGGTTTACTTCAACAATTTTAAAGGGTCCTTCCCACTTCGGTTAAAGTGGGCCGGGGTCAGGCCCCATGATTCTTTTGAGAACCAGATCTCCAACTCGGAACATGCGAGGTTTGAATATGGAATTGACGTACCTCTCGCTTCTCTATTTGTAAGCAGCATTTTTGAGTTCGGCACGAGTACGAAGTTCTTCAAGCAGGTCTATGTTCGTTTTCATATTGTTCGAGTTGGACTCTTCGGTGTAATTTTGAATTCGGTAAGTTGGCGCACCGAGTTCGACCGGAACTACAGCTTCTGAACCGTATGTTAGTGAGAAGGGAGTTCCGCCCGTGGAAGTTCTCGTGGTTGTTCGATATGCCCATAAAACGTGTGGCAACTCTTCCGGCCAAGCTCCTTTGGCAGCGTCAAGCCGAACTTTGAGGTCATTTTTTATGATTTTGTTGACGGCTTTGACCTGGCCATTCGATTGGGGATGGTATGGCGAAGAGAATAAGTGCTTGATTCTGTATTTGTTGAGTACAAATTGTTATTTTTAGCGAGTACCGAATCGAAAGATTCGTTCCCCGGGTCGATCTCACGAGGAAGGCGGTTCGGAATTCAACTTTGATCGACAACACATAAAAAGAAAATAAATCCTAAACACTCTAATCAGGTAGCAGATTGGATGGATTATTAACTAAGAAACAAAATAATAATAATAATAATAATAATCTACCTAAAAATATTAACGAAACAAAGATGGAGAAGCTAGGGAGTCGGGAATAATCAGTTCAAGTTCTATTCGCAAGCCGGGACATAAATCGTTCTATTCCAGATTGACACTCTCGCTCAGACATCTAGCGGTTCACTCCCAATAACTCTTCGTAACAAGGGATTGAACATAGATGAACAAACTCGAGCATATAACACAGGCCAATTATCCCATCTCAATAACTTTTCGTAACAAGGGACGGGTCATCGACAAGCACTTATTTCAACCCACAACTTATAGACTATTCAGTTACGAAATCGTCCACCTCGTGCGAGCCTAAGTCTACGACTTCTCCCCTTTCGGTTCTAAAAGTCGCTAATTAGACTAGAAGGTGTTTAATCAACTAATCAAGTAGAATAAACAAACCCTAACTCAACAAATCAATATTTAATCGTTTCAATCGCAAAATCAAAGTGTCACTCTCTGATTATATCAATAAATTAACCTAAGTGTCACTCTTAGGTTATATCAAATTATCAAGTAAGAATCCATTAATTCCTAATCAAATTAACTCG